ACGTCCTCCTGCAGCGGCTGAGGGGCTGGGCCTTCCTGCTCAGCAGCAGCTCCTGGCAGGGCCGTTTCTTACAGTTTCCACGTGAAAGCAGGGCTCACTCTTCAGTTACCTCTTAAACCCATTGTACTAGTTTCCGTTTGCTTCTCTAACAAATTACTACAGTGTTTAAAAGAACATATATTTATTGCCTTTCAGTTCTGTAGTTTAGTTGTCCAACAGGGATCTCCCTGGGCTAAAGCCAAGTTTTCAACAGGGCCACATGACTTCTGAGGCTCTGGGGAAGAATCCATATCCTGTCTTTCCAAGCTTTTAGAAACTACCTGCGTTCTTTGGCTCAGAGCTCCATTCATCTAACATCAGATCAGCAAAACTGCATGTCTCTAACCATTATCTATAGTCACATCACTCTGCAATCAGAGCCAGTAAAAGTATTCCACTTCTAATGATAGTAGGTCTAGGAGTGTGATTAGACTGGGCTCACATGTTTAATCCACAATGTTCCAGCTTAATCTGACCATCCCATGGTCCTTGACTTAATCATATGTGTAAAATCCCTTTTGCCAAATAAGGTAGCATTTTCAGATTGCAGGGACTGGGATGTGGACGTCTCTGGGGGAGTCCACCCTTCTGCCTGCCTCCCTACTATCCACATCCCTTTCACATACTCTTCCACGGGTTTTTCAGGAAGTGGGATTCAGCTCCCCCTCCCTGCAGGGTGCCCAGATGAGTGTTCCTCTCAGTTCATTTTCCATCACATCATTGTGGTAGAAATAGAAAGACAGACACAAATGGACAAAGTCAGGAAAAAGGGAAACAAATTTCAGTCTTGTCACCTAGTGAGTATCTCCTCAGCAGGGTCAGGGATGAGTGTTCACAGTTTCTGGGAGAGAGGAACACCCAGATCTTTGAGTGGAGTGTCAACTGTGCCCTGTTTCCCCCTTTCAATTTTAGAGTTCCTGGCCCTGAGGATGGTGAGCGAGGACCAGGAGTGTGCCGGGTGGCTGGAAGTCTTCTACAACGGGACCTGGGGCAGTGTCTGCCGCAGCCCCATGGAAGAGCTCACCTTGTCCATCGTCTGCAGCCAGCTTGGCTGTGGGGACAGTGGAACCCTGAACCCTTCTATTGCTTTTAGGGAAGGTTCTAGACCCCGGTGGGTAGATTTAATCCAGTGTCGGAGAACTGATACCTTTCTCTGGGAGTGTCCTTCTGACCCTTGGAAATACGATTCCTGTTCTCCAAAGGAGGAAGCTTACATCTCCTGTGCAGGTGACTTACTGCCTGTTTCTATGTGTATGTCCCAACCCTCTAGGATGTTGCTAGTGAGATTTTATATTTTCAAATCTAATTGATGACTTTAAGTTGAATCCACAAAATGAAATATGGCTGGAGCTAATTTAATCTACATGTGCCAACCTTGTTTTTTTTTTCATTTTTAAACAAGATATAATTGACATAACATTATATTAGTTTCAGGCTTATAACATAATACTTACATATTTATATATATTGGTATATGATCACCACAATAAGTCTATTAATATCCATTGCCATAAAAAGTTACAATTTTTCCTTATGCTGAGCACTTTTAAGATGTATTTTCTTATCAACTTTCAAATAGACAACACAGTATTAACTATAGTCACCATGTTGTACATTACATTAGCCATGATTTATGAATTTTATAGCTGAAAGTTTATATCTTTTAACCACCTTCACCCACTTTTTGCCCAAACTAACCACCCACCTCTGACAACCATCAAACTGTTCTCTGCATCATTGAACTTGTTTTTTTGTTATAAGATTCCACATTTAAGTGAGATCATATTGTATTTTTCTTTCCCTATCTAATTTATTTCAGTTAGCATAATGCCCTCGAGGTCCATCCATGTTGTTGCAAATGGCAAGATTTTCTTCTTTGTTAACTTTTTTATGGTTGGTATACAAATATATATATATATATATATTTTTTTTCTTTTTCTTTTAGCCATTCATCCATCAGTGAAGACTTACGTTGCTTGGCTATTGTAAATAATGCTGCAGTGAACTTTGGAATGCATCTTTACAACTTAATGTTTTCATTTCCTTTGGATAAATTGCCAGAAGTGAAACTGCTAAATCATAGGGCAGTGCTATTTTTAATTTTTGAGGAACATCAATACTGTTTTCCATAGTGGTTGCACCAACTTACGTTCCCCTAGCAGTGCACAGGCCTTCCCTTTTCTCTGCATCCTCACCAACTCTTGCTATTTCATGTCTTTTTGGTAACAGCCATTTTAGCAGATGTAAGATGGTATCTCATTGTGGTTTTGATTTGCATTTCCCAGTTGAGCACTTTTTCATGCACCTATTGGTCAAGTATATGTTTTCTTTGAAAAAATATCTATTCAGATCTTCTGCCTATCTTTTAATCAGATTGTTTAGTTTTTTGCTATTGAGCTGTATGAGTTCTTTATACATTTTAGATATTAACCTTTATCAAAAATATAATATATTTTCTCCAGTTCTAAAGGTTGCCTTTTCATTCTGTTGATGGTTTCCTTTGCTATGCAGAAGCTTTTTAGTTTTATGTAGTCCCACTTGCTTATTTTTGTTCTTATTGCCTTTGCTTTTGGTGTCAAATCCAGAAAATCGTCCCCAAGACTGACATCAAAGAGCTTTTTTTTCCTTCTAAGAGTTTTATGACTTTAGGTCTTTTGATCAAGTCTTTAATCCATTTTGAGTTAATTTTTGTGTATGGTGTAGACAGGGGTCCAGTTTCATTCTTTATCATGTAGCTGTCCAATATTCCTGAGACCTTTTATTAAAGAGACTGTCCTTTCTTCACTGTGCATTCTTGTCCTTTGTCAAAAATTAATTGACCATATAAATTTGAGTTTGTTTTTGGGCTCTCTGTTATGTTCCATTGATCTCTGTGCCCATTTTTATACCAAATAGCATGCTCTTTTGGTTGATGTAGTTTTGTAATATAGTTTGAAATCAGGAAACATGACACCTCCAGCTTTGTTCTTCTTTCTTAAGTTTGCTTTGGTTATTTGGGGTCTTTTGTGGTTCCATACAAATTTTAGGATTGTTTGCCCTGTATCTGTGAAAAATTCCATTGAAATTTTGATAACAATCGCAGTGAATTTGTAGGTTGCTTTGGGTAGTGTGGGCATTTTAACAATATTAGATCTCCATGAGCACAAACTATCTTTCCATTTATTTGTATCTTCTTCAATATCTTTCTTCAATGTTTTATAGTTTTCAGTATACAGATCTTTCACCTCCTTGGTTAAAGTTATTCCTAGATATTTTATTCTTTTGGATGCAACTGAAAATAAAATTGTTTTCTTAATTTTTCTTTCTGCCAGTTTGTTGTTACTATATAGAAATACAACTGATTTTTGTATATAGATTTTTGCATCCTGCATCTTTCCTAAGTTTATTAGTTCTAACAGTTTTTTGGTGGAGTCTGTAGGGTTTTTTATATACAGTATCACATAATCTGCAAATAGTGTCAGTCTGCCTCTTCTTTTCAGATGTGGATGCCCTTATTTTCTTTCTCTTGCCTGATTGCTCTGGCTAAGACTGCCAAAACTATGTTGAATTAAAGTGGTGAGAGTGGACATCTTTGCCTTGTGTCTGATCTTAGGGGAAAATGTTTGTAGCTTTTTATAGGTGAGTATGATGTTATCTGTAGTTTTGTCATATGGCCTTTATTATATTGAGGTACAATTCTGCTATATCTACTTTGTAGAGAGGTTTTTTAAAATCATAAATGGATATTGAATTTTGTCAAATGTTCTTCCTGCATCTAATGAGAGGGTAAGATTTGTACCCCTCATTTTGTTAATTTGGTGTATCACATTGTATTAATTTGTGGTTGTTGAACCATCCTTGCATCCTTGGAATAAATCTCACTTGATCATGGTACATGAAGCTTTTAATGTATTGTTGAATTCCATTTTATAATATTTTGTCGAGGATTTTTGCATCTATATTTATCAGGAATATAACCTGTAATTTTCTTTTCTTGTAGTGTCCTTGTCTGGTTTTGGTATCAGGATAATGATGGCCTTATAAAATGAGTTTGGAAGTGTTCCTTTCTTCTGTTTTTGGAAGCATTTGAGAAGGCTCCACTGCTTAATACCATTACATTGGGAATTAGAATTTCAACATATTGAAATAAATAAATGTTAGTGGGGTAACAAATATTCAGACCATAGCACTTTACTTTTTTTTTTAACATTTTTTTTATTGAGTTATAGTCATTTAACAATATTGTGTCAAATTCCAGTGTAGAGCACAATTTTTCAGTTATACATGAACATACATATATTCTTTGTCACATTTTTTTTCACTGTGAGCTACCACAAGATCTTGTATATATTTCCCTGTGCTATACAGTATAATCTTGTTTATCTGTTCTACATATGCCTATCAGTATCTACAAATTTTGAAATCCCAGTCTGTCCCTTCCCACCCTCCATCCCCTTGGCAACCACAAGTTTGTATTCTATGTCTATGAGTCTGTTTCTGTTTTGTATTTATGTTCTTTTGTTTGTTTGTTTGTTTTTAGATTCCACATATAAGCAATCTCATATGATATTTTTCTTTCTTTTTTTGGCTTA